GGGAACGGTGGATGGTTTATTCCTCATTTCTGGTACTTCATCCATGTTCATTGTGCTTTGGCGAATGAGAAATCCGAGATTTTGAGCAAATGAATGTAGAGGTTTCTTCCTTATCGGTCTATAGGGACTGCAGCTCTTATCAGCGACCTAAAAATACGACAAGTAGATGGACCACAAGACGTCTTGTGCCAGAAGTGATGTGTTAAATGTTATCAATTGGGTATCAAATAGGCCAAAGATCGCCAATCACTCTATCCAACCGAACGTCGGGGTCAGATTGCCACTTAAACTGTGCCTCCCGACATCTGAAGGTTATTCCACGCCTGCTTTGTCCACACTGGGCCGTACTTCTCCGAGCCAACTTCTTCGTCTGAAGGCAAAGCCTCATGCTCTTCTTTAGTCCAGATCTCCGTTCCTTCCACCACCGGAAACGAAGTGAGAACTCTACTGATATCTCCCCACCAGACCTCGCCGAACCGTTGGTACCAATCGACTGTAGTTTTTAGTCCGTCTTCAAAGCTCGTCTTGGGCTCCCAACCCAGCGCTGCTAGCTTTGATCCATCGGTCGCATATCTTTGATCGTTGAACGGGCGGTCCTCGGTGTGCTGGATCCATTCCTGCAGTTCATCTGGTGTTGCGTGTGGAATTTTAAAAAGTCCTAGTAGTCCGCGACAAATGTCCATGTTCGATATCTCGTCCTTAGAAGCGATGTTGTAGATCTGGCCAATGACTCCTTTATGTAAGATCGTGTCTAATGCGTCGACAATGTCCCCTGCGTATACGTATCGGCGAGTTGGCGATCCGTCTCCGTGGACCAAAAGCTTGCGTCGCCGTTGTAATAGCATGATGAATTTGGGGATAATTTCTGCCCAAAATTAGCATGTGACAAAATAGAAGTTATCACCAACGTACTCTCTGGAAACTGATGCGGTCCATACACATTATTGCTCCTGACCGTAATGAGAGGCAACTTGAAGCTGCTCCGATATGCGCTAACCATCATCTCAGCAGCCGCTTTGCTCGCCGAATACGGATTCGTAGGCGCAAGCAAGCTCGTCTCGCTCAGATCTGCCGCCCCAATCGGCACATCTCCATATACCTCATCAGTAGATATGTGTATAAACCTATTCACCCCATGTTCCCTCGCTCTCTCCAAGAGCACATGCGTCCCGTATACGTTTGTGTTTGTGAATTGGTACGAATTGCCGAAGCTAAGGTCGACGTGGGATTGCGCCGCGAAATGGAAGATGGTGTCGATCTTATGCTTGCGAAGACACCTCTTTACATCTGAGGGCGATGTGATATCTCCTTGCTCGAACGTGAAGTTGGGCCGATCATCTAGGATGCGAGTGTTGTTGAGGCTTGCGCAATAGTCGAGTTTGTCGAAGGAAATGACGTTGTAGTGGTCGGGGTATGTCAGAGTCAAGTGTCGGACAAACCAACATGCTCTGGTACTGTGTCAGTCCATATTTTCTCCTCTGGATGGTGTTATAGCACCATTGACGTAGCGCTAGAGTGCTGCGCGCGAAGACGTACATAAATCCTGCCCCACCAGTAACGAGTATGTTCCTTGCGTCGGCCAAGGGCTCGAATCGCGTGCTGCCCTTAAGAATGGGTGCCTGCCTCCAGAGATCTGCTGTAACGTAGGATCTAGGATTTAGAATGGTCGAGTTCCTTCGGTCTATCTTGCCCAATGGATCAGTAGTTGGGGTGGTTGAAGGAGGGGTGATGGAGGCTTACGTTTGACATGATTGGCGCCGTTCGGCAGGAACTCAGAGCTGTCAGCCGCGGACATGTTGGTATCGGCCGCCAGCGCAAAGGACTCATGAGTGCGGCGTGAAGACGAAGCTCAAATGAGCGATTACGAAGATAATATGCGATGTCGCATGTTGATGTTGACTCGCGGGAACAGGGATTTGGCCGCTATAATGAGAACGGGATCCCTTCCGACGCGCTACTTCCGTCACCTTGCCTTCCATTACAAAGGTACCATAGTACATCCATCATTCTGTCATGTGTCTAATCTGTACAACAGTCCACAAATGTTTGGGTTGGAGAATTGTTGATCTCGTTCTCCCTCCACGTTCAGTAGAGAACAACTAATACGCAGTTGAAATTGGTGAAGAGCCTAGAGCAGGAAAGTCTACAGCTATGTATGCGTGAGTCTTATCGCTTGAAGCCAGTCCTAGAGGACTGCTCCACGTTCATATCGCGTGTATCATTGTAGCCATGTGTCACGCTAATAGCAAAGCCACTCCCAAATTTATGCACCTTCGGGTGATTGAGACAAACATCGAGTTCTTGCGATCGCTGGTGGTACTTGTATGCTATATTTACCGCTTTAGGGTTAGCGTTGATATTCACTGGGGTGATGCAGATTTAGGTTGCTGCATCACTACTCGACCCATCTCTGCCCTTTTTCTTGTTCGGCTGCACATACCTGGTAAGCTGATAAGGCTTCGAAGGACGCTCTTGGAAGATTCAGTGGAGCGTGGATGTGAATTAGTGTCGTGCCCCGCGTATGTTGACCTATATCGATTACCATCGATAATGAATAAGTTGTTTCAACATGTCTTTTGTTCTTTGCTCTCTAGGAACGAGTGGTTTTCGTCTTCTCGAATATGTAGTATGTAAAATATAGGCGCCGCGGCTGTGAGGCTGAGACGAACGAAGCACAGCCCGCATCTCCTCTACGCCTGCCCCGCTTCATTAGTAAATCTGGTCATCAATACTGTGAAGACGCCTCGAGAGCCACGACACACTCCACATTTTGAGTTTGTATTTCATTTCACGTTCCATTTCGACTACGAAAGTCAGCGGATTCAAACCTCTAGGCCCGCACGAGGCTCCCTATACCGCGATTGTGCTCAATTCGCACCTCTTCACATTCAGCCTTGCTTCACAGGTTAGTTTTCACACCCTCCATATCCCTATATTTCTAAGCATATCAAAGCATGCCCCATACAAATCCTTCTCGATATACCGTAGGCTTGACGCATATAGATAAGGAAAGCCCATCGAAATCGAGCTTCCAAAGCACCCTTAGCCTAGCCCCAGGTCCTAGACCACCGAGCTCCCCGAAACGACGATACTCTTACCATCCTTCCTATGGGATAGACGCCAAACATTACAATTCAGAGGGGTATGGGAAGGAGGATAGGAGCGTGAACGATCAGCTGGGATTCTTCCTTGGGGGTCTGGGCGACCACCTGGAAAGAGCTATTAATGGGGACCACGAGAGTATTTCAAGATCCGATATGTTGGAGCAGAAAAGCGAAGTCGAATACCTGGGCCCGGCTGTTCAAGTCCGGGAGGCTTCCAGCAAGCTACTACCAACGTCCAAACCTCCCCAACCAATAGACGATTTTCTGATCCAGTCTCCTTCCCCGCCTCAATCAAAGGATCGCAACTTCATCACAGGTCCTTCTGCTCCTAGATCAATGGATGTATATCCTACCAATCCTGTTCTCGTCTTTCAATCAACGGATAACTACCCGGCGTCTTTTCGTGAGCCTCATCGACTATGGCCATATTGTCCGCCTCCTCCGCCTCAACTATGGCTATATTCTCCGTACCCTCCGACTCGCCCGCCTCCACCATTGCCATATTCTCGGTATCCTCCGCCTCCTCCGCCTCCTCCGCCTCCTCCTCCGCCTCCTCATCCGACTCCTCTCCGCCTTTTGGTTCCGAGATCCCGAACGTCTTTCCCAGGAGCCCCAATAAGGACGTCTTCACAAGCAACTCAGCCACAGCCGCCTTCCTCAAGTCTTGATCTCTTTTGGGAGGGAGTACACCGTATTTTCGGTCCATCTGATATAGACCCCTTTAAGTTTTGCAGTTTTTTGGGTCTTGGATCAGTAGGAGCCGTAGAGGAGGTTAAAAGGACAAGCGGATGGGGCGACAGATGTGTGCGGAAAAGGGTTCTTCTTCCGCAACACCTGCGCAAAGCAATGCTCAAGATCATGCAAACAGAGGTGCGGGTCCTAAAATCTCTTAACCATGCCCACATCGTCAAATTTCTCGGGTCCTATGAAGATGCAATTCGAATGAACAGGCCTGCTACATTCTGCCTGCTCATGTCGCCTGTAGGCGATGGTGACCTCAAGACGTTTCTGAGCCAGGGCTCCGAACAAGTTGCTTCAAGCAAGTATACAAAGAACGACATCCGCCTTCGACAATGGTTCACATGTCTTGCATCTGCCCTAGCATATATGCATAGCCTGGGTATTCGCCATGAAGATATCAAGCCATCTAATATAGTCTATCGCTGGGACTCCATTTACTTCACTGATTTCAGCTCGTCTTGCCAATTTGAAATTGGCCAGACTACGTCGACAGAGAACCCCTCGAGAGCCTCCGCCACATATGCTGCGCCAGAGGTAGCCGACAAATTTCTTCCAGACGGAACACTCCAAAGGCACGGTCTAGGATCCGACATCTTTGCGCTTGGTTGCGTCTTCTGCGAGATGCTCACCGTGCTCTTACATGAGTCTGTGGCTTCCTTTCAAGCCTTTTTGCTCAAAGATACGTGTATAAACCAAAGGGGTATTTTGCTGTACAGCCGCAAAGTTGACGTGATTGTTAAATGGTTTTCTATCAATTGCAGTGAGATTTATACAGCCTCTCATCATTCCTTCTTTACCAATTGCATTCGCCCCATGCTAAATGTAGATCGTAAGTCTCGGCCTAGTGCTGCCTCTGTTTTGCAGGAGATAAGAATGTCGGAGTTGTCAGATTTTGATTTGAAATGTCCGTGTGTTCCTTATGTTATGGTTTAGGAGTTAATAGATAGCAAATCGGAGTAGTGGAATTATTGGATTAACAGGGGTCCAAATGCAGTATATATAGCAATAAAATAATACGTAAGCAATATCGTTTGTTGAGCTTGTGAATTACGTCGCTTCCTGTCTCCTTTGAATCATATCATGAGGACCTGCTTTGGCCTAAATCATTTTATTTTTTTTAATCTCATTCCAAACCTTACGCAAAAAAGTAGAAATCTCTCTCTACGAGAATCGAACTCGTGTTGTCGGCGCAACGAGCTAACGTACTTACCACTATGCCAAGCAAACGTGAGAGTATCTACTTTTTTTGATTACTACCTCCTCACACTAACTAGTATATAATGTTAAGTTGATGGTGCACGTAAGCTAGTAGATAACATATTAGAGTAGTAGAACTCCATCTTTTTGCTAGTCAACGCTTGTTTACCCTTCTTTAAATCCTAACTAAGGAACATATCCCAAAATAGCTCAGCAAAAAAAGCAAAAATCAAAAAAAAATCAAAAAAGTAGAAACCTCACACTACAAGAATCGAACTCGCGTCGTCAGCGCAACGAGCTGACATACTTACCACTATGCCAAGCAAACTTTGAGGGTATCTGCTTTTTTTGAATACTACCTCCTTACAGTAACTAGTATATAATGTTAAGTTGGTGGTGCGCATAAGCTAGTAGATCGTAAGTCGGAGTAGTAGAACTGAGATGACCGTAGCAACGAGGGTCGAACTACAGCATACATAGCAACAAAACAATAAGTAAGCAATGTCAAGGATTCGAGAAACCTAGATATTTCCTAGGTAAAAAGAGCTCATGATAGAACAGCAGCTATAGGCAACGCACGTCACCTAAGCCTTAACAACTTAGCATTCAAACATTACATATTATTTGAAAACTTATATTGCTCGGGTCAAGAACTTCAAAATGCATAACATGAGTTGCTACACTACACATTCACCCTGGAAAAGTCTACTTATCCCAGGTGGACGCAATCAAAATTCAGCGAAGTGCCTGCATAGCATGTTCTCTCCAAGAACAGACCTGAAGTGCTAAAGAAAAAAAAAAGGAAACACACAAGACTCTTTGGAAGCAAAGAGTCGCACGCTCATGCCTCCTTTACGTCCATAAAGATCTCCATCCGCACAACATCATGCTGCTCCTCATCACCGTCCCCCGTATAGGGGATCTCGACATGCATTCTCCAACCCACCGCGGGCGGCGCCAGACAATCATCAAACGACCTCTCGTATATCCAGTGCTCTTTCCGAAACCAATCCGCAACCCACTGTAGCGGCAAGAGGATCTTCGCATAGCCGTCGTGCAGCGCAGTGACGGGATAGCATCTGCCGTGCATTTCCACCGAGCTGTAGCTCCGCCCATCGTACTGCCCACGACTGATCTCCGTCTTCGCAGCTGGGATGAGCAGAGTAGTGTGTGTTCTGTCCTGGAGCTCGTGCCAGGAGGGATCCAGAGTCAGGTTCGCGAAGCTGATGCGGCCGCCGAATAGGAATCGCTCCAGCGAATTGCCGGACTCTGCTTCGCCGAAGATGGTCGCTTCTTGCTTGGTGGCATGGGTGTCGAGGAGTTGGGCGTTGGCCGTCATGCATTTGATGTTCGGGAAGACGTTGAGACAGTGTGCGAGCTCGTGCACGATGGTGACGGCGAGGAGGAACTGGAGACAGAGATGGTACTCGTTTTGCGCTTCTGTTAGGCGGCTCATGTCGTCCGGGAGACTCTCGAAGTATTCTGGGTAGAACTTTTCGAGCGCGATGGCGGGCGAGAATCTACCTTGTCCCGCCCTGTAGAGGAGCCTTTCGTCTTCCGCTTTTACGGCAATGCCTGCTGCGATCATGGCTTCGTCGTGGACTCTCACTAGCATCTTTGACCGTTGGATTTCCGTGCCGGACATGAACGGAAGGGAGGAATCCAAGAAGGCTTCGCGGACTTCAGGGAAGAGGAAGGTGTGGGCGTGGTCAGGGATGTCACCCGTCCGCCATGTGAGGACGTTTGCTAGGGAATCAAGAGATGAGCGCCATTCGAAGGAAATTTCTTCATCGGTCGACTGCTTAACACCCTGCAGAGAGAGATAGGCCTTGTTTCCGAAGGGTCGGGCCGTTCCTTGCATTTGATGGTGAAACCAGCCAAGGACTCTAGGATCCTCGACGAGATATGTAGCAAGACGCAGAGCGGGCGCCATATGTTTGTAAGCTTTGTGGCTGATATCGAGGAACTTGGCTTGGCTAAAGAGAGCATGGATAGGATTGTCCAAATCACACTCGTATTGTGCTACATCAAAGAATCCGTTGTTTCGGAGAAAGGCGGTGGCTTCTGTGCGAGCAGCGTCGATTCTGTTCTCGATTTCAATCTTGTAGCGAGTCATGGTTGCAACTGTGGTGGAAGGATTATTGAGGGTAAAAGCAGAGCATTTTATATCTTAGCTTGTTTGCTTGCTAGAAGTAACCATTCTGTAACGGTCATGAGTGCTATTATTCACATGTTTCCATGGTTGTGATGACGACGCAATCAGAATATTTGTTTTACATTATAGCACTGGTAAGCGGCTGTGTGTGTGATGCCAGAACTTCCTAGAAAGAGTACTCTTAATCGATTACAAAACAATTTGAACAGTCTCCAAATATTCTCAACTCAATGAACTTACGTATATCTCCTAGCAATAACACCTCGATGGCAAAACTAGCTGAATTTCTATATGTTCTATTCCCACTTGTAGCCCAATTGACGTTGCAGCCACATACGAAGCCCCTATCCGGTGCGTTGAATGAAAATGCTACTGTCTCGTCTTTCGAGTTGGATCCAGCTTTACGTAGATGCTACAGAGGATAGGGGCATATGGGCTAGTGCGTTAGGAGAAGGCAATGTTTAATTTTAAAACCGACATGACATAGTCACGCTAAAGCGTTGAGAGCACCCCTTAACCTGACTGCGTCCATCGAATATCCTTAAATGCCCCATGATATATGAAAAGGAAAGGAGTGATAGGCTGCCGGCATTTTGCCAGCAATAAAATCAACCTCGCTTGGTGGATTGGGAGACGTGATCACATACGAAGCAATGGCCCGCAGGGAGACAGCAAAGCGGATTCGTGGAGATAACATAATATACAGTTAAGAAATACATAACCTAAGACGCCAATATATCCAACCGTGATCAAATCGTTACCTCGAATTCAACTTCCACTTCTCAGATGATTGGCGTTTATTCCAGGTATAAGGAGGCGCAAAGTGCTATAGACTGATGGCGATGCATTATATGTCTCACAGGCCGAGAAAGAGCGGCAAGACCATCACTCACTAACATCCCCTTCATAATCTGTAAACTCTTCCTCCGGTTCAGATGGATCGGTTTCATCCTCATCGTAGTCGGTGTCATCTATGCTATCGGAATCAAGCTGATAGAAATCCCGTGGCAGGTATCCCAGCTCTGAGATAGCGACGTGCTCCCATGCTAATAATTCAGGACTTTGCAGTTGGTACTGCAGAGTTTTAAAGTGCGTCTCGAGTTCTGAGTCCCTCTCGATTGTTGGCAGATCGAAATGGATGGTGAGCTCTTCGCACCTTATCGCCGGACATAGATCCTGCTGCTTTATTATCTCGATCTGGAGTAGTGTCGCCCGGAAGTGGTTGACGCTCATCTTCACATCATCAGGACGAGCTCGCTCTGGCCACAACCCGTTATCAGTCAGGCCAATCGAGAATGAACCCAACGCCATGGATCGACATTTTCTCGAGCATATGCTGAACGACGAATCCAACAAAGTATCCACGAATCCATAACAGGCAGAGAGCGTATCGGTAATGTGTGCAGTCCTGATACGAACGAGGTTGTCTGTACCGGTATATGATGTCAGTATACGCATACACATGGATACCAAAACACTTACCAAGGATCGGACGAGGTAAGACCTCGAGAGAAAAGGTGGCTTCGTTATGAGCTACGTTGTATCCTTCATCCGAGAGGCTCATATTCAGAGCCACATGCTCGGAAGCGCACTGGAAGACGTCGCGGTACCCAAACACATAAGCAACCAGAAGCCACATTTCGTAGCTTGGCTTATGCAACGTTGGCAACCATGCGTGTACCCACTCTCGTATATACGGGCGTAGCGCTGCCGTAACCTCATGCCGATTACAGACTTGGGCGACTTTTACTAGCGATTCGAAGTTCTCCAGGCCAATCTGGCTGTCTACGTGCTGGAGATGACAAGCGCACAGGACCGCTTCGATGACATCGGCGTGCTCCTCCTCTATCTCAATGGACCGTTTGCCTTGGACGATTGAGGTCGCCGGTAAATCGACGAGGGCGGCCCATTTGGGGCTGGCTAGGCGAATGCAAGCAGATTGTACTTCAAATGTCTGGGTTTCGAGTCCGCTAGGCGAAGAGACGACAAGACGAAGATCGCTTAGAGTAACGATGATGGTGGCTGGCTCATCTGGTGTGGGGATTCGCACGGTAACGCTTGCTGAGGTACTGGATGTACCCTCGACTGAGGGGTTGCGCGCCACGTTGGGCATGGTGCCATCGTGCTCCTCGTTCTTGATCCGGGTGGATAGCGAATTGTCCATGGTTGGATATGAGATTAGGAGTTGCAAGGAGTTTGCAGAGTCCGATCAAAGAGCACCCCTCCTTGTGTTGTTTAAGCTATCGTGGGCAATTTTGCTTCATGTTTTGTTTCACTAAAGCACGGGCCGTAGATTAAGCGCCTAGGCTAAAAATAAGTTAGTGACACGCCTAATCACATGATATAGAGTGCTACTACCTATGCAATTGCTAGAGGCCTCGTAAAAAAGGGAGTTACTTGTACGCGCGCTTTGTTTACCCGTTTATGCAATGCTGTATACTATTCTTCCAAACCTGAGAATGATTAATCGTCTCACACACCCCAATTCCTCCTTGGACTTCGTTAGAGACATCGTGGGAGCTAAACAGAAGGAAATAGATCCAGTAGCAAGAAAACAGATCGCAGAACGATGCTACTTATTCGCTGGCATTGATACTCCAGTAGAGCTGTAGGACGAAGGACACCGCGTCGCATCGTTCCTCCCTTAGTGTTAGTCCCGGCTACGGCCGCACACAATCTTCGACGAGGAAACGAGCTGCAGCCATCAATAATTGAACAGTGTGAACGATATCTCTATTACGGCCGTTAATACGCTACAAACTTATCTCACTCGAATGATTACTCGTAACCTTCCCCTTGTTCCCAAGATCGTTCATCTGCACGAGCACCTCCTCATCATTATCGCCGTGCTGGACCTCGAACGTCTTGGTGTAATTGATAACGCTCGCGTTCCCCGTCCCATTCTTGCTCTTTCCGACATGGGCAGAGAATCCACTCTTCACGAGATCCTGACTCCGGTTTCCGTATTTCGCGTGGTATGAGGCGTTGGTGGTGGTGCCAAGCACCTTGGGAAAGAGCCGCACCAGGATGACGCGCATGGCGGGCATGCACGCGCACATGATTCCGACGTTGATCTCGATTGTACTCCAGTTGCTCACGTCCCATTGGTCCCAGGTTGGGTTGTGCGAGTTCGCGAAGCTGACGAGGGATTGGAGGCGGAGGATCGAGACGAC